GATAATTAATGATTTTATATTTATACGGTATAGCTAAATTTTTACTATAATAAAACCTATTTGATTGTTTTTAACATTTTTCTTTGATCATTTTTGTATTTTTTTTTTTTTAAATTTTTTTTTATTATATGCCAAAGAAGTATAACTTCTGACGCGTGTACATAAGTACACACACCATTTTTTTTTTTTATTTTCAATACCTTCAGCTCACTTCTAATTAAAACAAACTTTAAATCTTCCGAAAAACACTAACAATAATGAAACAATGGCTTTTTTTTATACATTTACATTACATATACACTATATAAGAACAGTCAGTACTCGAATTATCTAGACGTATCAAAAAAAGTCTTTTAAAAATTGTCTATCGTCAGTGTAACAATTATAATTAATCAGCATCCGTGACATTTTATTAATTTTCTTATCAAATAAAATTCCTTATCTATAAACAAATATTATTTTATCCTTTCGAATAAAAATAATATTATCCAAAATAAAATATCGATCTTTAAAAATTAATGATAATTTATTATTTAAAAAATTAAAAATTAAAAGATTTATAAAAATTTTTTATTTCAATTTTAATATTGTCATTTTATCAACTTAACAAATTAGTTTATATTTTAAAATTTGCCTTCTATCTGGAGGCCTAAGAAATAATCTATCTTATTTAAGGAGATCAATAATTCATATAAGTAACAAGCTAAGAATTAAATTCTCTTCGATTTGATAGATAGATATTTTAAAGAATGTCTATAGGGAGTAATATTTTACTTTTTTGTATAATATAACTCAGTAAATAATGAATAAATTAATTAAAAGTTTGCAAATAAATTTAATTTTCAAATTTTAATTAAATACAGATAGATCATTTAATTATAACAAAGAAATAATTCAAATTCATAATTCAACATTGCTAATATAAAATAATATTTTTAATGAGATCTTAGTTAGTGCGTAATTTTATTAAGTATATATTAATAACTAATAACATTACAAATTTATAATTCATTGCTAATTAATTCATATTCTTCGCGGAGTACAGCTCTATCTTCTTCGTGAAGGTCGTTGACCAAATTGAATTCCGCGCGTATTTGATGGGGTTCTTTTACACGAATTCTGTCCGCCAATAGCTGAGTAGTGACATCTAGAAGACGCTCGATTCCCAAGTAGTTGGCAGCATTGATTACATTGATTAGTTCGCCATTTTCTATACTCTATAATTTGCGCCAGGTTATTAACTACACTGATAGAAGGATTTGTTTATATTTAATAAGCTTTATTAACTGTTAATAAATGATTTTTTAACATCATAGGAATTAATAAATATTTATTAACAGTTAATAAGTAATTTATTAATAATTGAATGTTAAAAAATATTTATTGAAATTTAAGAAATTAAATTATTGTCTTCAAACAAATAAAATTATTTATAGTTAATAAATCCTTTTATCAGTGCAGATTATTAACTATCTAATTAAACAAATTACCGCAAAGTAAAACTGATCAGCTTCCGTCAATTGGACTGTCACCGGATCACCCTCAGCATTCGGTCGGGGTAAATTTCCCCCATTTGCTCTTGACCAGTCGATTATTTTTTTTAATTCAGATCCGTTAACAGCAGGCAGATGTACTTGAGAATCAGACTCTCCTTGAAGCAATTCGAGCATTTCCGTTACTGTTACCCAATTGTTGACAACATCCTTATCGACCGGGAAAATCTTACCGTCTGCCGATATTAACTCCAGGTCAGCCATTTTTACGCTCGTTCAGTTGCAAGGAATGCGAATAAATGAATAATTTACTTGCTTAGGCGTTACTTAAATATTATTTAGAACAAATCTTGGAATTTCTAGACTGTACCATATTATGCTGAGAATATTCGTTTATTTCGATAAAAATTTGTCTGTTACAATCCTAATATAAAATTGAGATGAAATGTATGTGGCATCAAACTATTCGTAACGTGATTGGTCAAATATATCATAAGCATGAAAATATATGGGGCATTCCACGCCAAATCGACCACTTTTGACTCTGACCCCTTTTGATTTGGCTGAAAGTTTACCATCCTTTTCTACCCTATCAAAAACGTCTCTCATAATTTTTTCAAATTTTTTTACCCAACCAAAAAAAAGTTCCGAATTTTTCAAAAAAACCGCTTTTTTATTTTTAAATTGCCATAATTTTTTCAAAAATTGGCTTATCGGGACGTTTTTTTTTTTTTTCAAAATTTTTGTTATTAAATGTTCTTTTTGGAAAAAAATATAAAAAAATTCTTTAAAGCTATCTTCATCGTTATTTTTAAAATTTTTAGAAAAAACTCCGAATTTTTTTATGAATACCATTTTTAGTTTGTTTTTTCTTTTTCTCATTCTAAACTTTGACATTTTTTACAGATATCATGAAATTTCCAGAAAGGTGTTTTTCCGATTTCTATTTTTTCTTTTCAATTAACAAAAAAAAAATTTTTTTTCTTTTGTCGTATTTTTCATAACACCGGTCAAAAAATTTACGGGAATCCTTAAAAAACAAGAAAAAAGTATAGAACCAAAAGTTGAACATGTTTAACATCGAGAAAATCAATTTTTTTTAAATCAAAGAAAAAATTGAAAAACAATTGTTTTTTTTATTTAATGCTTAATGAATAGTGGGCGTTGAAATTAACAATTCTCCGATACTCTAAGTTTTATAATTAAAACGGTTTTGTCAAATGGTTTAATACATGACTATAATGTCTGAAATGCAATAATTCTTAAACTAATAAAAACATTTTCCTTAGCTAAGCAAAAAAATGTTCTTTAACAATATTGTTTCTAATGATGGCGCTTAATTAATTTTTTTTTTTTATGAGGAGGATTCATTGGTGGCGCAAATTATCATTTCTCGACGACTTCTAGAGTAATTTGAAAATAGATTTGAGCCTTCACAAGGATTAAAAATTTTAAAAGCAATTCTAAGTAGCTAATCTGGTTAACTTTTAGTTCTATATTTTTTGATGTTTTTCAATTTCTTTTTCTGCCCTCCGGCCGGAACGTGGCAACTTTCTGGTCGCTGCGCTAAACAAAGTTGCCACATTCCGGCTACGTCGAGCAGAAAAATAGTATACACACCTTGGCCAGTAAATAAGAAAGCCTCAGATCACATGTTTGTCCACCTCGGCTTCGCCTCGGCCAACAATTACATGTGATCTGAGACTTTTCTTATTTTACTGGCCTATAGGTATGTAATATACTATTGTTTTAAAAAAAATTGATTTTCTCGATGATTAACATATTAAACTGATGGTTCTATACTTTTTACTTTTTTTTTGAGGATTCCCGGAAATTTTTGGCCCGGTGTTATGAAAAATACGACAAAAAAAAAAAATTTTTTTTTTTTTAATTGAAAAGAAAAAACAGAAATCGGAAAAACACCTTTCTGGAAATTTCATGATATCTATAAAAAATGTCAAAGTTTAGAATGAGAAAAAGAAAAAAGAAACTAAAAATGGTATTCATAAAAAAATTCGGAGTTTTTTCTAAAAATTTTAAAAATAACGATGAAGATAGCTTTAAAGAATTTTTTTATATTTTTTTCCAAAAAAAAAATTTAGTAAAAAAAATTTTGAAAAAAAAAAACGTCCCGATAAGCCAATATTTGAAAAAGTTATGGCAATTTAAAAATAAAAAAGCAGTTTTTTTGAAAAATTCGGAACTTTTTTTGGTTGGGTAAAAAAATTTAAAAAAATTATGAGAGACGTTTTTGATAGGGTAGAAAAAAATGGTAAACTTTCAGCCAAATCAAAAGAGGTCAGGGTCAAAAGTGGTTGATTTAGCGTGGAATGCCCCATATTTTTTTTTTTCAAAATTTTTTTTTTTAAATTTTTTTTTTGGAAAAAAATATAAAAAAATTCTTTAAAGCTATCTTCATCGTTATTTTTAAAATTTTTAGGAAAAACTCCGAATTTTTTGATGAATACCATTTTTAGTTTCTTTTTTCTTTTTCTCATTCTAAACTTTGACATTTTTTACAGATATTATGAAATTTCCAGAAAGGTGTTTTTCCGATTTTTATTTTTTCTTTTCAATTAAAAAAAAAATTTTTTTTCTTTTGTCGTATTTTTCATAACATCGGTCCAAAAATTTACGGGAATCCTCGAATTTTTTTCCAAAAAGAACATTTACTAACAAAAATTTTGAAAAAAAAACGTCCCGATAAGCCAATTTTTGAAAAAGTTATGGCAATTTAAAAATAAAAAAGCGGTTTTTTTGAAAAATTCGGAACTTTTTTTTGGTTGGGTAAAAAAATTTGAAAAAATTATGAGAGACGTTTTTGATAGGGTAGAAAAGGATGGTAAACTTTCAGCCAAATCAAAAGGGGTCAGGGTCAAAAGTGGTCGATTTGGCGTGGAATGCCCCATATGCAAACCCTGTAGTTAGGCGCGCGCTTGCGCGCGTGAATTTGAATTCTAGTCCTATAATAAAATTGAGATGAAATGTATGTGGCATCAAACTATTCATAACGTGATTGGTCGAATATATCATAAGCATGAAAATATATGCAAACTCCACAGTCAAGCGCGCGAAAATTTGAATTCTAGTCCTAATATAAAATTGAGATGAAATGTATGTGGCATCAAACTATTCGTAACGTGATTGGTCGAATATATCATAAGCATGAAAATATATGCAAACTCTATAGTCAAGGCGCGCGTTTGCGCGCGCAAATTCAAATTCTAGTATTAGTTATTAAAATATTAAAAAGTATATATTGAGTTCTAACTTTTTTATTTATTTTACGAAAATTGTATTATAAACAATCAAATGACATATAATAATATTCTGATTATTTGATTTTAAAAATAATTCATTTGGTCGTTAATTATTTCTTCTTTCATTTCTTCGGTCAAATCATCTCTAAGTGCAAAAAATCCTCGAATAAAGTTTGGACGATGACTGTTTGTCGACAAAAATTCACTAACTGTAGGCGCTGCTGCGGCAATTAGCGAATACATTTGGAGATAATCTGCTACTTTCAGTATTTCAACCGCTTCCGATAGTCCGAACCTCTGAAAAAAAAAAAAATTTTGAAGCGATTTTAAAAAATAATCAAATATGTTTGTATTTGGATCTTTTTAAATAGTTTTTAATGTTGAAAAAATTTTAGGATAAAAAAATATCTGGGGTCAAAATGACCCCAGTGTTCTTCGAGGGGTATCATAAAAATAAAATAAAATTCATTGGTGATTACTATTATATTACCTGCATGTAATCATAAATATTCTTCTCTCGGTCAAGCGGATCTTCATTTTTATCGTTATACTTAATCTTTACCAAATCTATAATCATCCTCACGTGTTTTGAATGGACATTTGGTAAAGGTATGACAGCAGATGGATCATCTGAGGTCATTTCGCACATTTCTTTTAATACTTCCGATTCTTCAATAACTTCACGGCCTACTAAGAATTGGATTCCATCGGAAGATTCTAAGTAGAACTTTTTTCGCGCCTGGAATAATTTATTTATCTCATTAATCTATTAATTGGTACTTGAAGAAACTTAATGTTCAATAATTAAGCAAAAGAATTCAGTACGAAGCACTAAACTGATTTAATAACAAAATTTTTTAGTAATTTATTTAGGAGAAAAAAATATTTTTTACTCACAAAATATTATTTGTTACAGTTTAATAAATTATTTTTTTAATTCTAAATAAATTATATTAATATGAAAAATGAAGTACACAGAAAGAACAAGATTATACTGGATATAATCCCAGATTATACTGAGTGAAAAAAAATTTCAGATAGTAGCTAGTATAATCCAGATAACAATGAGTATAATCCAGATATTATTCAGTATAATCTGGATTATACTAGCTACCATCTGAAATTTTTTTTCGCCTCAAATGTCACTGGGATTAATCTGAGATGGTATCCAGTGTCATCTTGTTCTTTCCGTGTATA